AACATGTAATTTTTAATTTTTGTTTTTGGTTTTTATTACTTTCGAAAAAGCATCTGTGAAGTGAAGAACAAAACCGTGTACAAACGAAAAAATATAACAACAATGCCATTGTTAATATGTTGGAGTAGTTTTGTGCTACTCTGATGTAATGCAGGGATGGAGTATATGGTCCTGCCCTAGGACATCGCAATGTTAATTGGACCATATTTTTTATATGAATTGTGGTAAATTTTGGAGTACTCCATGGCCCTTAGGGAGCACTCTCTACATGCATGAATGGAGTAGTCGCGATTTTTGTAGGGAGTTAGTTCGAAATGTCCATTCGTTTGCGTTTTTGGTACCCCGTGGTTAAACCTTGTGAATAACCTTGTTTATGTAGGCCGAGTTCCAGTAGTTCAACGAGATCTCTACCATGCCAGAGTTGTTGCTGGTCTTCACTACTCATAACAACACAGTTGTTTACATTTATTTCAAAAGCAAATTAAGATATCGTGTTCATCAAGAAAATAGATTTGCTAGCTCAAAAAAAAATCGCTGCTAAAATATTATTTTTGCGGAATTACGAAAAAATCACTTACTGTTTCTTAATTACGACCGTGATGGAGGAGTAGTAAATAGTAGTCATCCTAAGCAAAGCCATATTTTCAGAATACTAGCACCCTTCGCTTGTAGTGTACGTACTAGAGGTATACGCCGCCGAGCCACGCCGCCGCCGCCGCCGTTTTTTGTCATTCCTCACGCGCCGCCGCCGAGTTACGAAAATATCGGCGCAGCGGCGGCGTTCGGCGCCTAAGGAATTTTGTACAAACTTTTTATGATGTTTGTACATTGAATACATCGTTTGAAGGAACTAAATACTACTTATATAAAACACAATTTTACGAAATGAAAATTACATTTTTAAATTAGTTTTTTTATGCATAATTTGGGCCACTGAACAAGAATATTTATATATTTATTTTTCCAAAAATTGCGTAACTCAGAAAAAACATAGGTAACATATTTTTCGACGAAAGCGTTTATTACCGTTAAATTAGGGTCGAATACTGGTAATCTAACGATTTTTTTCCGCAGTAGACAATTCTTTTCAATAGTACTTTTTTATACACCGGCCATGATTCAATAATATAAGGTTAGATAATTATTGACAGATGCGGTTTGACACTCCCTTACAAAAGGTTGCATTTACGAAGGACGGAGAAAAGGGGGGGAATGAAATCTCTTGGTGCGAAAATGGTAGTAGAAAAGTACGCAAAGTAGGCAATAAGTAGTGAAATTCCTTTTGTAAATTCCAATGTATTTGCAGGAAATCTGGCATTTTAAACGAAATGTTGGACGTAATATTGATGTATCTATGTGAATTACTTAATTTATGTGCTGTTTAGCTGTATAAAAACTGCAAAATGACTCAAAATTAAAATAAGACTACTATGAGATTGATGTAAACATCCAATTTAAAAACAGTTTATGTTTTCATCAGTTACATATGCTTCATATGCATATGTATACAAATAAACATATTGCACAAACGCTCATATTTCTATTTCACACCAAACCCTGTGGGGAAAATCTCTAGTTCTGAACTGGTGCGTTTCTAGTACATTTAGACCCAGTACTGGTTCGCGATAAATCTCTTTTGCATGCAAGCAACTGGCGAATTTAACATGGCGATGTCCTAGGAAGTGTCAATTGCCCCCGCTGCATACCTTTTTCGATAGTTCCGAACTAGTCATAAATTCTATAGTTCCGAACCAGTTATAAAATCGGCAGACGAAAGAAAAAAGTATCATGATTTTTCAATCTTTTTGGTTTTTCCGTGTGTGCGATTTTAAGTTATTTTGGAAGGAATGTGTTTTCAATTTGAAATTTATATCTTTTGAATGATTGTAAGAAATGTACGTTTACATACCTTTAGCAGTAGCTGAGTTTGCAGAGGTGGTCGCTGTTATTTCTTAGACGGTCCCAAGGTGTTGAAATGTTAACACAAATTTTAGTTTTTATTACCAAGCTATGAAAAAGCATCTGCGAAACACAGAATAGAAGCGTATTTGAACGAAAAAGCCGCCGAACACATATCTATGTAAAGTAAACAGCCCCCCGCTGCATCCCTTATTCGATAGTTCCAAACTAGTTCTAAATTCGACAAATAAGATCTAGTTCGTTCTGCATCCCTTTTTCTATAGTTCCGAACCATTTCTAAATTCGTCACTTTAGATATAGATTTCTAGTGAAAAAAACTGAAAAAAAAATTGTTTTTTAAAAGTACCACATTTCGCCGAATTTGGACTGGTGGGGATCAAGTTCTTATCGGACTAGTTCCTTTTTGGCGATAAAGACCTAGTACGGAACTAGAAATTTGATTCACTAGTCCGCGGTTTCCCTGCAGGGAAGCTACACTGTTTCCATGTAAATGTGCAAAGATGCAACACGGTGCCACTGCTAAGGGAGCGGTGCGAGAGAGACAACTGTCAGTTTATCGAACCTTGTATTATTGAATCATGTACACCGGCCTCTTTTCATCTAACTCCTCAATTATTGGAGACAAGTTGATTTTTCTATGTATTTTTTAATATTATACATTCGCAAGTTGTTTTATTCTGAGGCCCCACATACGTATACAAGTACTAGGCGGCTGTGTGAGAATTACGTTAGCATTCCTTAGTGGTGGTCAAACCCCGGGAAGGTTTTGCTGGTTGGTAAACATTAGTATTATTTTTCATTACATTCGTTCATTACGCCCGTTCTGGTTCGAGTTGATGGGTTAAACTTTTGGAAAAAAAGTAGACCAACCTTGTTTTCAATATGTAATCCGCAAAAAATCGTACTTTAACATAACGGTTGATAAGATTATTGCAAATATTGATTGAGAGTGACTTAAATTTTTAATTTTAAGTTTTTTTGTTTCTTTAAATTTAAATAGTACATACGGATCTATAGAGAACATAGAGATCCGTGTGTGTATGTATGTATATACCTCAGACCTTCTTTTGTTCGCCCATCAATCAGCGCCAGACACTCAACATTTTAATTCAAGTAGGAAGTAACAATATTTAAATTTAAAACTAATTCAATAATGAAATAAATAGAATTATGATAATAGAATAATTGGCATGGCGAATGCCTAACGCTAACGTAGCCGCATGGCTCTTTGAAATCTACCTTATGAGCAGTAGCGCCGGCGTCACCGCCGCCGCCGCAAAGCCTGTCGGCGGAAACCTCTAGTACGTACATACATACATACATATGTATACGAAAATAATCGAACCACGATTTTTGGACATGTTTGCAGCCCTAGTTAAACACTGTGCAGTATCCTCCTCTGCTGTCTGTCAATTGTTAATGAAATACCGGATGATGAGCAAATTCAGGTGATGCGCACTCGAGTAAAATAATCGTTAAGCAGTCTATTATGAATCGGTGCTCAAGCTGCTTGCGGCTTGCTTTAGTGAAAAAAACAGTGAGAAAGATGAACTAATTAATACTGCCGGAATGAGACCTTGCAAGTGACAACAAAATGTTTTGGTACAAGCAAATTAAAAAAGTAGGCATACATAATGCGCTGCGCATAGGTAGTAAAGGAATAAATTAAAACGAAAACCATAGATATTCTCAAGAATAACAACGAAAATATGTTCCTACGTATGTATGCATAAAAACACCTAAACCGCAGTTTTTAAACACAACAACAATTATGATGTAAATGGTTACTATATGCATAAAAATTAAACTATAGGTATAGAATATATAGAAGAGGCGCGAAATCACATAAACCTTGCGGAATGTAGCGGAAGCATATGAGAATAAATTAGTCTGCAAATAGAGTTGTTGTTTCTCCTTGAATTTCGTTTATTAAATTTATTTAAACTTATAAGTTGTTTTCAATTTTGCCAATTTGTAAAATGCTTATTTTGTAAATGGCTGTCGACTAGAAAACTACGTGATAAAAAGTTTGCGAAGCAGTGTTACGTACATAATTATTTGGTTACAAGCAAGCATACATACATTGCTTTTCTATGCATAAATTCATTTGTACATATGGGCGCATACTCAGTTTGTATCAATTCCCAAAAAATATAATTTTGTATCCAGAACTTATTTAGTGTTAAAAATAAAATACTTTTAACATTGTGTCGCGACTGTACGTGATTTTACCATAAGAAAAATATCACTCAACAACGCCCGATACTTCACACAACAAAGCATACCAGTTTTCATATAGTGCAGTTAACTCGAAGCATGTCATCTTTGGCAAATACATTGCTCCTAATGCTCATACTTTCCGCTAGTGTCCATGCCTTCAATCCTGCCGTCTCCAAGGACTTGGTTTGTCAAATAATCAATTCGAATCAATATGTTTGCGAACGCCACTTGGTGCGCACTGCAGATGGCTATGAAATTACCCTACATCGCATTCCACCAAAAAATGTTACACACAGCCACAGTCGCCAACCCTTTATTCTCATGCACGGTCTATTAGGCTCTGGCGCAGATTTTGTGCTACCTGGACGGGCACGCTCTCTTGGCTGTATTTTAAATGACCAGGGCTACGATGTGTGGCTACCGAATGCTCGCGGTACAACCTTCTCCAAGAGGCACATTGCAATGGATTCGTCTATGGCGAGCTTTTGGAACTTCACCTGGCACGAGATCGGCTACTTTGATTTGCCTGCTGTTGTGGATTATGTACTCGAGACGACGGGCAATAAGCAGGTGCACTATGTGGCGCATTCTCAAGGATCAACAGTATTTTTCGTGCTTCTCTCCGAAAGGCCGGAATACAACGATAAATTCGTATCAGCATCACTGCTAGCGCCGGTGGCGTTCTTAGCGCATTTGCGTAGTCCACCGTTAAGAATAATGGCGGCGGAAGATGAAAAACTCCAGGTCAGTTCTGTTAAGAATAAATAGGGCTGTTCAGGATATTGTGCAAATGGTCTAAGATTTGCATTTGCAAATTTTATGCTTGCTGAATGTGTACGCAAGATCGTATGCACAAGATCGTGAACAGCCCTTATACCTTTTAAGCAAACATACATATTTGCAATTTAATTTAACGGGAATGTTTTTAATTTTGTCAGTCCACAAAAATATATTTAGAGTTTGTTTAGTGTCGATATAACGGTCAGGGTAATCTGTAAAACGAGTAGAAAGTCTCTATGCGGAACAATTGCGCAACTAATCTGGTCCCGGTTTAATTCGAGATCAATTTGTCCCCGCCTGAACGTTTATGGATACAATTATCAATTTAATGATATGTATGTGTAAACGCACTTGATCAACTAAATTTTATATGCATCGTTGGCATACTTAGTAGCTCCTCAAATTTTACTTGGGAAAAGTTACTAATTAAGGCTGAATTTCGCTATGTCAAATAAGTGAAAACACATTGTCAAATGGGATTAAAAACGGTCTATCGATTAATTTAGACCAGAATAGGTCTTTAGTCATGTGTATGCGCTGCTAGATCGGCGATTTGTCCGTTTTTGGCCCATAATATAATCAGTAAAGGTATGGATAAAGTTGTGTAAAAATATGACATAGTGAAAACCAGCCTTTAGCCTCTTGATAGTACATACTCGAGCAAAAAGTTCTTTCCATTTAAAAAGATCAAAAGCTGTACCCCAGAGAAGTCCCGGACAAGTCGCATTTATTTAAGGGTATTTTCCTTCTAAATTCATACATAGGTATGAATGTATAGATGTAGATACTCTGTGCGAAGAAAACGAAACACTTACGCTTTTAGTTAACTTTAATCTGCTTTTACCTATACTATAATTCATCTTTAATCCTCACGGCAACTGGCGTGCGCTGTAATTGCAATATCGCCCTAAATTTTTAAGTTTCGAAACAAAGTAACCAAACATAAATCTACGCGTACTCTTACCTACACTTCAACTGAATTTCACTTCCGTACAAAACCGCGTATCAACAAAATGCAAAACCGCGTATGTGAGGTTGCATAAATTATTTTCTAGAGTGTAAAAACACTCATATTTCAAAATGGTTCTCTTTTTAACCGACTTCCAAAAAAGGAGGAGGTTATCAGTTCGTCGGAATATATATTTTTTATTTTTTTATGTATGTTACCGCATAACTTTGGACCACGTCAACCGATTTCGATAATTCTTTTTGCATCGGTAGTGTCTCAGAGGTGGTCCCATACTAATCTGGTTAAGATCCGATCAGTGGATCATGAGATATATATATTTTTTTTTTTTTTATATGAGAGTTGAAGTCGGTTTTTTTGCTAAAAATGACTTGTTTATAAAGCATTTGCATTTCTGGCTAGTATATATCAGGACGAATGGATAAGGATTGAGCCAAGGGCTTGTGTGAGCAAATCCAATTTTTGGCAGCAAATGTCAGTTACGCGGTTTTGCAGAATGACGATACGCGGTTTTGTACTTTAAATGCCGATATGGTGCGTTCCATTTAAAATTGCCAGGAATAAATGTCGGGTGAAAATATTAAATATAGCAAAAAGTTTCAAAACGACCACCACACAAAATGAATCTCATCAACGTATTTTTTAAGTATCTCTTACCTTGTTTATACCTACGCAAGAGCCGCATTAACAAAAAACCGATTTTACTGAACACATATTACTTTCTAGAGTTTATACCTGTGTCTTTATAGCGCACTCGCTGAAACCGTATTCAAAAGTAAACAAAACTTGCTGTTTATTATTCGATATTTCTTTAACAAATACTTTGCACGGTTCACCGAAATAGAAGCGAACAATAATTCAAATTTATTTTAATAATAATTAAAATTTAAGACGGGCATCAGCCTATTTTCACTTCGCGTCAAATGAGTGATGTGTTTATACCTGTTTTCTAACCGAAGTGAGAAATAAAAAACCGATTTGAAAACTAATTCGAGTCAGTACATTTTTCAATTTCAACGCGCTTTGAAATTCAGTTTATGTATCCGTTTTAAATCACAGCGAACTAGGTCAAAGCGCTTTATGTGTCGGTATAAACAAGGTATCTATTGGACGGCAGCCAACTTTTCATAATTTCGAGCTAGCTGGTTTAAACTAAGATTAGCCAAATGTATGTCAGCCAGCTATTAAATATGAACGCAGTTTTCGTGATATTAGTTTAAACTAGCTCTTAGCAATTTCGAATATATGTTTTTCGAAGAGTGTTCAAAGTACCGCGTTTAATAAATGTACATTCACGCGAGTTCGAAATCACATGCTTTCGATTAATAGTCGCGTACGAACATTCAGCTCCGTATCTATTACCTTGTTTATACCAACACATAAAGCGCTTTTACCCAGTTCGCTGTGATTCAAAACGGAAGTAGAAACCACCTTTCAATGCGGTCAGAAATTAGTGTATTATTATTGTAGCTAGAAAGTGTATTGACTCGAATTTGTTTTCAAATCGCTTATCACTCCTTTGACGCGAAGTGGAAAAAGACTGGTTTTCTTTATACAGCCCGTTTTAAATTTTAATTATTATTATAACAAATTTGAATTCTGAATTGTTCGCTTCCATTTCGGTCCACCGCGCAAATCAATTATTTAAGAAGTATCGAATAAAAATAACCAATTTTGTTTACTTTTGAATACGGTTTCAGCGAGTGCGCTATAACGACACAGGTATAAATGCTTGAAAGAAATATGTGTTGAGTCAAATCAGCCTTTTGTTAATGTGGTTCTTGTATATGGTATATAACGATGATTTCGCATGGATAAGAGAACACTACAAAAAAGCTAATAAAAAATTAAAAAAAAAATAAATTTTTAACAAAAAGTTTAATTTAGACAATATATCGTCACTAAACACGGATAAAGGCGCGAGCTCAAAAGTTGACCGCGAAAAAAGACGAATAAAAAAACTTCTGCGAAGAAAGGCTTTACATATTTGACGGCGACGAAAGACTTATTTTCGCGGTCAACTATGTTTGCGGGTGTAACAGTATGTAAAATCCCTAATGAGTTGTGGGAAATGATGATGAAGTGGGAGTCTTTGGCCGGGCTTAAATCTAAGTTTACGCGTCTTTCTTCGCCGTCAACTAGGTTTACGCGTCCTTTTTCGTCGAAGTTTTTCTGAAGCGTTTTTTTTTCGTCAAATTTTTTTACGCATCTTTTTTCGCCATCAAAGCACTAGCCCGCCTTCATTCGTGTCTACTGACGATTATTATTAAAATTGGCTAGATGAACGATGAAAGAAAACAAACAGGGTAGATCACAAATTCAATCAGATTTTTATCAGCTTAACACCATTACTGGGTTTGCACAAAAAATGTTTATCCAAATAGTTTAAGATCGTCGCCGACCGAAATCCTTTGTAAACTACGCTGTATGTATTCGCGAAGAAGCGATGATGCCACTTTTTCATTAAACCGTGTGCGAATCGTGGTATATTTCTGGAAGATTGCAGAGCAGCTTTTAGTTTTTAGACTCTTAATGCTTAAACGAAAGAGCATTTTGTTGCATTTAGGTTGAAAGTTTTGTATGCGTACATTTAGAGTTGCGTTTATAGCTAAATATGCTAAATGCACATTAATCGCTCAGCATAAACCGTTTAATGAAGTCAATGGTTTTAATATTATTTTTTTTTTTTAATAATTCAAAAACTCAGTTTTTTTCTTTTAGCCAATAAAATAAAATTACTAAATAGAATTTTACAAATATATAAAGGTATGCAGATGTGGTATTTCAACTATTCCTTGCACTGAGAGAAAATTGGTTAATATTACCAAATTCAAACTTGAAAAGGAATCAACGTGATTTTTTGGTCAATATTTACAATGCTTTGGTTGTTATTTTCAACAATGATGTGGTAATATTAACAACTATTTTGTTTACCATTAACCAAACTACAGCTGCCTCCAGGTTAAGTACGGATTCGGCCAAAACGTGGTACACTGCAACTCGGATTATTCCACGAGCTAGCCCGAATACATAAGTTAAAATCGGTCTATATCGCGTAAATCGACTAATTCACTTAAGTGCTTTCAAAAGTTCTTAATATTTCAAAAATATGTTTAATCAAATTACAGACATTCGATCGCGAATGTTGCTGATTAATAGTTTTTTTGACTTTAACTTATCACCTCCGACACGTATACCGACACCGCCTGTAAATGCATAGAGCGCGTTGATCCGGATCAAATCATTAATTCGGAATTATCTCGAGCGGCCGCTGTGTAACTATGTAGAAAAAAGGTTTTTTTCTTAACAGCAGTCGCCCCTCGGCAGGCAATGGCAAACCCCCGAGTGTATTTCTGCCATGAAAAACACCCAGTGGGAATTAGGAGCACGTAATAATACCTTATTAGCAACTTACTCTTCACCTGGCAGTCATTACCATTTCCCTGCCGAACGTCCCTTACTTTTACAAAGGCATGGCCGCCTTATGTAAGTAGGAATTTAGAATGTACATTTGGTATCAGACATACTTCTGAGCCGCTTTACAAAGTAAGTTACGTGTAATGCAGAGCAGTCGCTCGGAGTAGTTCGGTGCTTGGAAATAACTTCGGCTGCACGTTATTTTGCAACTGACAACGTAATGTGTCTTCGGAGGTGTTCATTTTGCCCTTTACTAGTAGATGACATTGGCCATGATGACAATTTTGGTACTAAAAACTGAAAGAAAACATGGCTTACCTCGCAAGGTGCTTACCTATTTTCCCAGTGGGCAGCTTCTCATAAAAATACAATCACCATTCGGAGTCGACATAAAGCGATGGGGCCCTCTCCTTTGCGTGACAACATTAAGGCATCCAATCCCGCACCATTTTGTAAATCTCGGGATATCGGGATCTTAAATTGGTAGTACCGGGATCCCAGAATATTAAAGGATATTAGTACTATTAATTAAAAAAACTAGTTTTGTAGTCTTGCTTTAGTGCGAATACTAGAAATAAAA